TTATTAGCAGATTTTTTAAAATTATTTTTCCTTTCTACAACACCTTACAGTCATTACATCAACATTGTTGTGTCATCATACCTGTAGATGTATATAATATTTCGCTTCTATATTTACACACTTTATACACCGTTCTATATATATTTATATATATATATTGTTTTTTGGCTTAATTAATTTTATTCTTGTTTTGCAGCCATTTGTACCAATGGTTCCAAATTTCATAATATTCCGACTCTTCTTTATCTTTTAATTTCAGTGTTTAATTTGTCCATCTCTGCACAAGCCAATTTTTTTTAAATCATTAATTCATCCGAGGGGGTATTATTTTGTTTCCAGCATTGGGCAAATGCTATTCTAGCTGTAGTTAGTTAGCACAGTGTTTCTCAACCTTGGCAACTTGAAGATGTCCGGACTTCAAGTCCCAGAATTCCCCAGCCAGCATTCGCTGGCTGGGGAATTCTGGAGAGTTGAAGTCCGGACATCTTCAAGTTGCCAAGGTTGAGAAACACTGAGTTAGCAGATGTGTTAATATGTATTTAATTTTCTTAGTATCTTTGTATTTTCTTTCATTCCTAACGTTTCTGCCCTTCTTGGTTTCAACCGCAGCATCACGGCGACAGCGTCCAGCGTGGGGGCCGCTGGGATTCCCGCGGGGGGCGTCCTCACCCTGGCCATCATCCTGGAGGCCATCAGCTTGCCCACCAAGGACATCTCGCTCATCCTGGCCGTGGATTGGCTTGTGTAAGTATGCCTGGCCAGATGGGCAAACAGCCCAGGATCAGGAACTAACCAGGATTCACTGGTCGCGCTATTGAAACCATAGAGTAGGTGCGACAGCTTGGCAGGGAAACCCCAAAGCGGGGGGTGGGGTGGGGGAGAGACAATCCGAGGATTAGAGGTCCTCGATGTCGGAGCACAATTGAATCCAAAATTTTGAGTGGGACAGTTGTGAGTTTTGCCCCGTCCTACGACCTTTCTCGCCACAAGTCGTTAAGCGAATCCCTGCAGTCGTTAAGTTATCAACCTGGTTGTTAAGTGAATCCGACTCCCCCCCGTTGACTTTGCTCACGAGAAGGTCGCCAAAAGGGGACACGCCGGCGGTCGTAAGTGTGAAAAACAGTCAAAAGTTGCTTTTTTGGGGGGAGGGGGTGACGTAACTTTGCACGGTCAGTAAATGAAGCATTGTTGCAAGGTCGCGACAAAACCTGCCTTTTCTTCTCGAGGTTCTGCAAAGGGAACTGTGGGGAGGGTCCTTTTTATCCGGTAGATTCCAAAAGGGCAGATCGCGAAAAGACCCGGAGTTGGCTGACGGGTGGGAATCTATAGCAACTTTTCCAGCCTGTGGACTTCAACTCCCAGAATTCCTCAGCCAGCCAGCCATGGCTGGCTCAGGAATTCTGGGAGTTGAAGTCCGCAGGCCGGAAAGGTCGCCATAGCTGCCCTCCCTTGCCCTGACCTTTGCGTGCAGCCTGGAAGGAGGACCGAAAGCCCAGTTGCCCTCTGGAATCTTGTTGTGTTTGTGTGGAACAAAGTTGTGTAACAACAGGGAGGCGGGGGGGGGTCTCCAACAGGCTTGTCTGGTGCAGCTGGAAGAACCGGGCGGTGGAGTTGAGTCATTCTTCTCCCTGGGAGATTGGAGGGACGGTGAAGGCCGCCTTGAAAAGGGGTTCTTGTTTTCCTTCCCAGTGGGATAAGGGACCTGTGCAAGAAGCCCTCGACGTACGGCCGTTTTGAAGTTACGACAGAGCTCCCCGTTAGAACCCTGACCTGGTTCTGAGGTTCTACTGGCGGCCAGGTGCACGGGGTGACCCGTTTTGTGACGGACAGGCCTTGTTAGGTTATAAGCAGAAGGCTACCTATGAACAGCCGAAGATAACACCGTGGCTGCATTGGAGCCAAAAGTCTCTTGTAGCAATCATGGCACAGAATATTTGCAGCTCAGGGTTGAAATGAGGGGTCCTTGGTGGTCTCTGAGATTTGGTGGTTTCCTTGCAGACGTTTCGGGACCCAACTAGGTAACATCATCAGTGCTAGAAGAGACGGGGGTTGTGGGGAAGAGGAGGGGGGTAGGAGAATGATGAAGGGGAGGAAGAGGAGGAGGAAGAAGAGGACTATGGGGTCCTTGGTGGTCTCTGAGATTTGGTGGTTTCCTTGCAGACGTTTCAGGACCCAACTAGGTAACATCATCAGTGCTAGAAGGAAGGTGGGGGGGGGGTTGCAGAAAGCAGGAGGAGGGAGGGAAATACTGTGCGATCCTCGGTGCTCTGTGAGCTGTCTTTCTAGACATTTCATTACCCAACTAGCTACCATTGTCACTGCAAACCCCACTCTCTACTAGCACTGATGGTGTTCCCTAGTTGGGTCACGAAACGTCTGCAAGAAAACCACCGAGCTCAGAGAGCACCAAGGACCCCGCAGTCCTCCTCTTCCTCCTCTGCAAAACCCCCCTCCTTTCTAGCACTGATGATGTTCCCTAGTTGGGTCACGAAACGTCTGCAAGAAAACCACCGAGCTCAGAGAGCACCAAGGACCCCGCAGTCCTCCTCTTCCTCCTCTGCAAAACCCCCCTCCTTTCTAGCACTGATGATGTTCCCTAGTTGGGTCATGAAACATCTGCAAGAAAACCACCAAGCTCAGAGATCATCGGAGACGTCACAGTATTATTTATTTATTTATTAGACTTACATACCGCTTCATAGGGCTATCAGCCCTCTCTAAGCGGTTTACAAATTTTTTA